TTTGCTATGCTTGCCAAATGCTTTGCCGGGCCGCATGGCAGCCAGATTAGACCATCAAAAAAGTGACAATGCAGGATCAGGGTCAGCTCTGGCCTGTCAGCTGATTCCAATTGTTGACTGGTTCAAACAAAAAGAAAGGCAACTGATATGGGAAGAGGTGCAGAGATAGAATTGAGGTGAGGGGACCGCGATAGCTTAGCATGCAGTTGTTTGCATGGTGAGCTATTCATATCTAGCACTTTCACCCACTCCGGCCCCCATTTCTCTGTCCTTTGCTCAGATCAGAAAACGAGGGACAGACTAACTTTAGCACACGTTTATTTCTCTTTAAAATGTTTTAGATGCCTTCACAAACAAATTTTCATAACCATATCTTGATGCCAGGTTAAATAAAAGCTACCTCACTCCAAAAAGACAAAGATTTATTTTTTATAGATACGACAAAACTAGAGGAAACTATTTTTAGATATTTGAATTTGAATCTGAATGGAAAACTACGTTTTGTGTCAGGGTAATTTACATAAGTTTTAGTTTGACAGAAAACTGTAAATATACTATTGATATTTGTAGTATTAGTAGTAGCTACAATTCTATAAGCTTAGATTAGACATGTTTAAGGTAAACTGTTTAAAAATCATTTTGAAAACAGACTTGATGGATTAAGTAAAGCAAAAAAAAAAAAAGAAAAAGACTCAACCTATATGAGGGTCTGCAACCAGCAGCTTTTTAGCCCCTCAACAATGGCTTGAAATAACTTTGGCCAAAACAGAGGTAATTAAAATTTAGCTCTTCATCGATTTTTAATTAAATTTCTTCATTAAATTTTTACAACACAATTCAACTAATGAACACTTTTTATCAGATTACATACTACATGCTTTTTCCCCCCTCTTCATTTTTTAGAAATCAACAAAAAAAAATCCATTCCATTTTGTAAGTTTGTTTTTCTTACTTCTAAAACCTAAAATTATTAATACTATTAAGTTAATTCACTTGTAACAATACTTTTTAAGAGCAGGTAAAAATGACAGCTATCTGAATTTTAGAGGAGCGTACAAAGGTTGTGACTTTAGACTAATTCTATTTCGTTGCACACCATAAAACTGGTTTTTAAAGAATTATGGTCACCAACCCCTGTCCTAGATGCACCAAATAATAAGTAACTCAAACAGTTGGAAATAAGACAAAAGAAATGAGTTCGATTTACTGAGAAAACGAGAAAACCTAACCTGCAGATGCAAACTTAAAATGAAATTCTCACGTGATGATAATTGGACAATAAACAAAGTTTCTTTCTAGCTAATGAACCTTTTATACCCATCTGTCTGTCTGAAATTTCTGTTCATTCAACACTGTTTTCTGTAGAGAAACTCAGACGGGTCTGAGTTTGTGAGCCATGCCCAGCACGTTTCACCAGGCCATCTCAATAGCCTTGACCTGCTGTCTAAGTGACAAACCCAGCAGATGCTGACATTATCAAATGCTTGGTGCTTGTCGTGCCCCTGGCTTTTGCCCTGTTATGGCCCTTAAATGAGCTGAGCAGCCCCGCCACCTGACTCTGGAGTGAATGTGTGTAAGTAAGCAAGCATGAATGTGCATGTGTATGTTACAAATAGACCTGCCTGGTGTGCCATATCAAGCTGGCCTTATGTTGACCTCCATGCTGTCTACAAGCAAGGCTGTATATCGCTCAGCTGTCACTGGCCACTTGGAGAATATCATTTGTGCCTTGGCAGAAAAAGTCAATAATTATAGCAGCAGAATGTGTTCGTGGCCCTTGTGAAATGTGGTGACAAAAACAACTGAGTTATTAGAAATGAATAGGTTCGGATTTAAAAAAATATCTAATAAATGCCAGGTAACTGTGCATTAAATTTTAAAATTATGTGTAGCAGTGACTTTTTGCGTGCTAGTGAGGGAGAACAGAGTATTTAGTTTAGAGGTACACTGATAAAGGCCTTTTGTTTGTTTGTTTCTTTTAATTTGAAGGTCTACATTAGTGGAAAACCATATAGCAGGCCATCAGATTTAAACTTCCCTCTCTACCAAATAGAAACTGAATTGCAAGATTATTCCCAAAATATTTAGCAAAACTTAAACCTCACAAAACATGCGCTAATGCTTATAATGCACCCTATGTGGTGCGTGTAAGACAGATAAAAAAAATATATTTATTTTCCGTAAGTGACCTGACGATCTCTAATCAGAGCTGATCCAGAAAAAAAAAAAAAAGTCAGATTCTAATTGCTGGTCTAATAACTGGTGCATGTCTAGTTATGCTGCTGGATTGTTTCTAAATGTGCAAAAATATACAAGCAAAGCAGCAAGGCAACGTGTGAAAAGTGATTTTTTTTTTCTAAAAAAGCATTGTCTGATGTTAGAATTCCCAAATCATTTTACATTAATGCTGGATTGTCCCCATGGAAACACAAGAGATCAGTCAGTGCACGCATATATTGAGTCCTTTGCTACAGTAAAAGAAATGTGAAATAAAATCCTGAGCTACTGTTCAAACTGAGCGCTCTACAAGGCAAATCAGCCTGAAGGATTTAAAAGAGTGGCTTAAATTAATGTTGGGACTTGACACCCGCGAGTGCTGCTGTAGGAACACAAGTAACAGAACTTGTGTATGTACTTTTGCCTCTGCGTTTGTCTGTTGGCCGTCTCGGTGACCGGAGCAGTAGCGTGCTTGCAGCAGGGCCCATCTGTCAGAGTCTGTAATTGCTTCATGACTCCAGGACATTTGACTCAAGTGCACTGCCACAGATTATTATGAGCTTTTTTTTTTTTTTCTCAGAGAACATTTTCAGTCTACGGAAGGGGTAAAACTTGGAAAAATGGCGAGGAAGATTAATAGACTGCATTGGAGGCAGCTCAGCTTGATAAGCTGTACCTGTGTATTATTGGTGTGATGGTAAATGGGGTGAAGGTGCTTAATATACCTGGGGTGTCAGATAGGTTGATGAAGGCGAGTAAGGAAAGTGAAATTAAGAGGGTGTACTATTGATCACGTCAGCTAGTGAGATGAGTGGTGAAATCTATTAAGCTGCTAAATGTTTTTCAAATGTTAGCCTATTTATGGGGCAAAACCTTTGAAAAAAAAAAAAAATAAAATCTGAAGGTATTTCTTACCAACAGGTACACTGTGAAACAATGCTTTGCTAAAGCTGGTAAAATGGAACCAAATCACCTCTTGAATGGATTTGGTCCCCTTCAACCAGCTGTAGCTATGCTTTGATGACTACAGGATCCAAGATTGGGTTTGACACCTTCAACAGCGTAAGAACAGTGCTATTATCATCTGGTATGTTTGGTGACTGTAACATCTGTCTTCTTTTTTTTAATGATAATAATAAAAAAATAAAAAAAAAAACACTGATCCACATGCAAAATTGGGTTATTGTCCTCTTTTCCTGACTGAGGGTCGCCTCTCTGCCACACCAGACTACAAACAGCTGTAACAGGGCATTGGCATGCAGCGAACAATTTGTCAGAAATACAACACCAATGTGTCTGTGTAAGAATGTATGAGTATCCTGCTAACTAATCCACTAGCTAACATGACTTTCATTAGATGGTCATCAATTCAAAAGCTTTAAACATAGACCAGACACACCAAACAGAGATTGTAAATAAATATTGTACATCTAAAACTATAATGGATTTATTATTTTTTTAACAGTATAAAACTTTGATTATTTCTTCAAATCAATTGCATGGGTAATGAAAATTTATATTACTTATCATTGGCTATTAATTATAATGCATGGTATCATTTTTACCATGCATTCTATATAACCTTTGTGAGAAAGCATATTTCTGAAGACATGCCAGTTATGAAAAAAAGATTCAAAAATACATCATAATTCCCCTTTCTTAAATGTTCATCACATTCCAATGCCCACAACTGTATTTTCTATACAATTAAGATCCATTTTCCAACATCTCAACTCTACTGCAGGCTGTTAGTTCTGACATTACGTTCTAAAAGCTTCTCTGGTTTAAACAGCACAGTGTGAAGGCTTGCAGACTCCTCCATCTCCTCATATAGGCCAGTTACCCTTTGGGGGTTGTCTATATCAACCCATTTTAAAAGAAAGCTCAGAGCTGCACAGAAAATGCAAATGAGAGGGTATTACAAAGAGGTGGCATCTAAACGACTACCAAAAGCAGTGGCAGGACTTGTTTAAAGCCCATCTATGGATCATGGGATATTAATCTTTTGCTTACAGTACAGTGGGAGCTACTGACTTCTGTTAGCCTGATGGAGGGACATAGATGAGGTTGTGCAAGCCGTGGCTATGGTGAATGCACAGAACACAATGCACAACTTAGATCACAAAGAAAACCTTTAACAGTTCAAAACTACATCGGTATTTACACTGTACTGTTGTGTGTTTGAGTAATGAACAAGCTAAAGTCTGGAAGGACTCCCTGGTGGGTAGAGCTGATTTCTCTCGGTGTTCAGGACTTCAAGTTGAACGATTCATTCGTCACCCACCGAGTTCTTCCTATGAATCTTCTTCAGTCTACTTTCCACACTTGTATAACCCAGCCACGGTCTTAAAACAACTCAGCAGATTACACACGCAGACAACAGGGATTTGACAGATTGTCTGCTTAAACCCAAATGGAAGAATTTCATGTTCATAACTAGCAATATTTTTTCTAATTAAAAGACACCCTTGAGTGATTCATATCTGTCTCTGTGCTATCAGAGTTGTGTGTTAATGGCTAAACTGCAAACGCAGCTTTTACTTTTACACCAATTTGAATTTGTTTTCTTACTTCATATTTATTTCTTGAATAAATTATGTATTTAATATATTTTACTAATGTTTCTTCTAGAATTTAAAGATATTTAAAACTGTCTTTTTCGGGGCGGGGAGGGGTTTCTTTATAGATGCTTATGTCTGTGTAACAACTGACTTGTAATAACACAGCATTTCAGGGAAAAATAATCTAATGCACATTTTAATTTGGGTTATTTTATTTGCTTCTTTTTTTATTTTTTTATTTTTTTTGATCTGGTGGCCTTTATTTGATGGTGAAGCGACAGGACAGAGGGTTGTGTGAGAAAGTCGTCGAGGTCTTTGTCCTTCGTCCTTCGTCCTCTGTACATGGGTCGCGCCTTAACCCTACACCAACAGAGCATGCTATATATTTAAATTTAATTAAACAATAACGGTAACATCTGTCTTACAAATGACTTGTGCTTTTTAGTTATACTTGCTAATGCACTGTACTTTTGTTTTATGAACCCGTTGTATTTATTAAATGTTTCAAATTTTTATTTGAATATAATTTTTTTTAAATCCAATTCGCCATTTCTTCAGTGTAGCTATGTGGTGAAAAACTGATGATTTGTCTGTAACAATCGTTATTTTGACTGAAATTTAACATGCTTTCCTCCATTTTAACTTAATCTTTTAAACCGTTTTGTTAGTTTGTTTGGGGATAAATTTGTTATTAATCTTGTAAAGCACTTTGTCTTTACAGCATTGTATGAATGTTCATAACTAGCAATATAAAGTTTGATGGACTAAATAATACTTTTGACTTGTTTATGTCACGCATGTCAGAACATCCTGTACTGATGCTTTAATTGAATGTTAAATGTTGGAAGTAAATTCAGTTCCTAAAGTTAGTTATACTTCTTCTGTCAGTGGTCTTCACGTGATAATCTCCATGTAAAGACCCTTGATTAGCGCTCCACTCAAACTACTTCTTCTGGGCCAACATCAGTACTTTTTAAGAAATATGATTCTAAGGCAGAAATTCCTCAAAGCAATCAATCGAAACAACTGTCTCTCCACTAAACACGCTTGGACGAGGAGCTTTCACTTGGACCTAGGGAGAGATTTGGGGGGCTTTAGGACTTGTGGACTCTCTCTCCAATATTGCAGCAGCTCGAGCGTGAAATAAAAGTAAATGGGAATACTGGAGATGGGGACATATATCTTTGTTTCTCTGAAAGCGAGGGGACAGAGTGTGGACTGAGGCAGGTAATGCACACACAACACAACCGAAGCCCTGATATAGAAAATGCTGTACTCCAGCACTTTTTGCCTGTAAATCAATGACTCCTACTGAAAACCAGCTTTCTACTGTATGTTCTGAAAGCTGCTTTGCTAACACAAATTATGCACCCTCTGCTTTTAAATATCTACAATTCAAATTGGCTGTGTTTTACTCAGTCTTTCTTTAAACATTCCATAATTGCTTTTATTAAATAAACTAAACGATTTACAATACAGGTCAACCGAGAAGTCTTGAGCTTTATTTTTCTTCTTTGAGAAGTAAAACTCTCAACAGGACGAACCTTGAAGCATTTTTTCCCCACTGGAAAACAAATACTTGTGTCTGCACTGTGTATAAATCTAAAGACTTTAGGAAAAAAGCCTTTAAGTATTCACTAAACTTACTCGGAGAATCTGATGGACTTGGCACATTTATTTTTGCTTTTATTTTATCACAACTTCCCCACCAATGGGAGCTTTTGCATCTCTGCCAATAAAAATAAACATGAAAATGTGAATATAGAGTGCAGTCAAATAAAAAGGCTAAATATATATTACTGGCATGCACAATTTGAATGCATGGCACTTGAAATATAATATCCTGACAACTACTGGATCTTAGCAGTCCTGTGCAAATGCAGTATTACAGACACTGATATACGGCGCGGCTCAAGCTGCAACCAATTTAGGGAATTATAAGACAGTATATGTTGATAAAATCAACATACTTGTTTAAATGTTAGTACAGATCAATAAATCAGTTAGTGTGCAGCAAGCGATGGTTTTGGATTAGCTTCTCCACAGTGCAACAGATGTAGAAAGGAGCCATGAATCATGGCAGGTGATCCACCTTAACTCCATTAATTCTTAAGTCATAGAGAATGTGGGTGTTAGTTTAAATGTCAAACCGCAGTGATAAAATAACTGAAAAAAATTCCGAAGTATTCGTTTTACTGGTTTGGGACATGCCTGTATTGGTCGATTTAGCAGATCCATGAAAGAGACTTGCACCACTAACATAGTGAAGAGGCAGAGAGCAGCTGCAAAACCAGCTAAGATCATACACCAGCTGCAACATTGTCAGGCAGAGCATGAAAGAATAAAATCAAATTATGCATCCTTTTTGTCTCCCTCAAATGTTGAATTTCCAGGCTAAAAAGGAAGAAAATGCTTTTATGAAATAAGACTTTAACCAGGAAAAGTTTGATGTTTCTTACCAACCTCAAGCTCTCAATAAGGCTGCCTAACAGCTTCAGAGTCACTGCAAAAAAAATCTGAAAAGTTTTATAAATAATATAAAGAATAGTGGTGGAAAATGTATGCCAATGTGTGGTAAATCTAAAAGAGCTGATCTTAATCAACCAAATCAAACTGTGGATGTTCAGAACAGTTTCCCTCCTGAAGAACACACACAGAATGTCAAGCATATAGTCAAATGTTATAGCGAACAATCACTCTTAACGCTTTACATCTAAATCCATCATGTTAAGAGATCTTGAACGATCAGTCTCATTTAGATAGTCTCCTCTCTTAGCCACCTTTACATTCTCTGAGTGATAAAAACAGGAAGAAAAAAAAAAAAAAACAACAACCTGCCCGAAATAGCAGCGACCAAGGACAAGACGAAATACTGCTGCAGAGAGCAGCCTCCTCAGGCCAGCCTCTGCTCACAACACATGGTGAGGGACAAGCATAACAGTAAAAGGAAACTACAAATTAACTTTAAAGCCTATAAGCTAAACTACCAGTACTCAACATAACAGACCCAGCCATCTGTTGGCGTAATGGTGGCAGCCTTAAAGAATAACTTGAAATTAAATTGAGGTAACAAACAAAATGTCCCCAGCGAGGCAGCACAATTACACTTATTTAACTTTTAATGGTCTTACTTTAGAGCTTGAGAAGAATCTGTGAAGGGAAAATTCTGCTTCAAGAGCTTCGTTTAAAACGCTTCATTCAAAAGGAGAAGGGTTCTTTAGAAGGAAGCAAATTGACCTTTACAGCGAATACAACACAGCATCAATGGGTCTAATGCCAGATATTCAAAAGCTGCTTACATCAGAGTCCATTTCTGTAAAAGAAGCTGATTAAGTAACAAATGAGTGATTCTGCCAGAGTTGCTTCCTTCCCTGCAGTGAAAAGGCAGAGCGCTGTGGCTTTAAACTTGACCCTCCTTTTTGCATGAAGCTCGACGTTTTATGCATTCCAGATACGACTCTGCCGTTTGTGCCCCAAACTCCACTGATTTTTGTGTTTAAAATGCAGCAACCAAACCAGCTGTTATCGAAAGCATCAAGCATTTAGTGATATCCTGAGGATTTAACCTCCTCCTCACAGCCCGCCTAAATACATCCTCATTACTCGCGCTACAACCGTTATACTGCAGAAAACTGTCACATACCTGGGGTTTCCTCGCAGGGCAGCATGATGTAAGGCATTGAACCCGTTGTTGTTAGTGATGGTGACATCTGCGCCGGCCTCCAGCAGCACTGACAACATGTCATCTCTTTTCTTGCTAATTGCATCGTGCAGAGGTGTGTCACCTTCCGAATCCTAAAAGGGAAACCTTACGTTACTCACTGCCCCGTAACTAATCTATTTAAAACAACATTGCTCTCTGCTGAACTGCCAAAATTGAGCTCACACCACACCTCACTTATCTGACATTTCCTACTTTGAAAATGTAGAAGGTGATAATTACCTGAAGACTAGGATGGCAACCAAAATCCAGCAAGGTTTTAACCACCTGCAGATGGCCCTTGTTGACCGCTATGTGTAACGGGGTCTGCCTTCGCTTGTTCCTGGCGTTCAGGTCAGCCCCACCCCTGTGAAGCACCTCGATGACGGAGCCTTCATCGCCAAACGCCGCATGGTGCACCGCCCGGTCTCCGTCTTTATCCTGAGCACAGCCAAGACAAAGAAACACACATCACGTATTTCTCCACTTCTTAGCTTTGTGTTATTGCTTAAAAAAAAAAAAGCCAAAGTCCACTTTTTGGAATGAATGAACGCAAATGAAACCAACCTCAGCCTCTAGGTCTACATTGTGTTTCAGTAGCAGTTTTAGGACATCCACGTGGCCGTTCTGACTGGCCGCCTGCATCGCAGTGTGTCCCGCACACTGTCCATTCACCTGCAACCAGAAATATGACTGCATTTCAATATTCAATTTTAATCTTTGCAAACCAGACAGATCGCTCAGGTCTTTCAGGGGAGTTCTTCTTCAGGAGCCAAGGACAAAAACTAAAAACTAAACATCACATAGGGGCGTCATCTTCCTGTCGCGTTCATCTTTAACAGACTTCCTGTTAAAGATGAATTGATTTGCTTTCTAAAAGTAAATAAATTTATCTTTGTAGTCTTTTTCAGCTTTTTATATTTTACTACTTCTGCCTAGCCACATTTAGTTCATTTATTAGATACTGTTATCAAATTCTAAGTTGATATTATTTTTCTTTGGGCCTTCCAAATTTTCATTTAATTTTAATGAATAGTCTCAAATTTTTTTTGATTTCATCATCAAAAATATCTAAGCTCTAGTTCATTAATCTACTAATTCATTTAAATTATTTAGCTTGTGTTTCACAATTGCAAATACAATTGTGAAACACTTGCATTTGTAGAACCGTTCAATAAAGTAGGATATTACTGGAAAACCCATTTATTTCAGGAATTTTATTACAAGATGAAACACATTAAATTAATTACACAAGCTTTTAATTCTGTTAATTATGATGTTTTCTCACTTACAGGTAATGAAAACATGACATTTAAAATTTGAATATTATACCAGTATTTTTTTTAAACAGAAATGTGAGCTGAATTATATGTATATATGTAACACAACGCACTTATGAATCATAGTCAACCAGTTTTCCTTTAATTGGCTCTGATTAGTAATCAGCAGGTGAAAATGTTTAGATTTGAGGTCTATCACTGTATCAACCAACTGCACATACTTTTATCCATTTCTTCATTTTGGTTTAATTAAAAAATTAAATCAGATAGAGTATCTCTGTAATGTCTTTCAGTCCTTAGAAAAAAAAATTAAATTGGCAGATCAGACTTGGGGGGGGGATAAAATCTGTATCAGACAGAAAAGGTCTGATCAGTGAATATCTATTTATTTTGTTTTTTAACCTAGTTAAGCTATTTTTGGTTTGCTCGCTTGTTTTCAATCTCTATAAAATATTATGCATTGCATATAACGGCATGAAAAGTGTTCCATTAGTAAAATTGACTGATTGCTTGATTAATGCTAGAAATTCACTGTGAGGAGATAAAGAGATTTGTGAGGGTGTGTTTGCATGAGTAGATGCGTATGCAAGGCTGGGCGTGCATCTTTCATCACCAACTGCAGCACTGCAAGAACTGAGAGCATAAATATTAATGTGGACTCCTCTGGGAGTCTCGAGACATCTCTTGTCCTGGCAGCCGAATCACTTGGCCAGACTCAGTGTGCTCAGCTTTAAGCAAATAATTCCACTGAAAGGCAGCAGGGCATCCGGCCAGCATTCACCAATGACACACACATTCATTCACTCCCCTGGCCCGACAGAGGACAGCACCGCAGACTCAATGTAAGGATTTCTATTTTCCTCTAGAAGCCGCTCGTTTTTGTCTTGTGGTAAATACTTTTTTTTTTTTTTGTTTCCCTGTACTGTGGGATACATCAGAACATAATCCACAACCATGTGGGATTTGTAGCTCCCCACTTGAAAGCGAGAGTATATCGAGGTCTGTGCTGCATTGCACAGCAGAGCTCCTTGGTCCCTCCACCGGGGCCGCCTTAACGTTCTTCTGACTGAGAGGAGTACTGGTGGGAGGATTTATCCAGGGAGACACTAAGACTACTCAGTTGATGTAAAGATCAGAAATTATGCATTTCATCTACAATTATCGATGTGCTCAGGTCTGTTGCATTTTTAAAGAGGAAACAGGGTGTCGTTCTATCAAAAATGGCACAAGTCTCGTTGCAACATGACTAACGCGAGCTCAAGGTCAAATAAGTCATAAAAGTTTTTACAATATCTCAAAGGTCACAGCAACAAGAAACAGGAAGGTTTTGTTGCATCATTACAGCAGCATGAGCGCCATACATGATCACCGTCTGATGAGTCGAAGCCCAGGGGTTTCCTGATGACTTTGTCAGAAAGATAAAGTGGGTGTTTTTAAGCTGGCGAATCCCCTCGTGCTGTCTGGCTCAGAATTTTTCCCCTTCATAAATGTTTATGAAAATGTCTAGATGCATGTTTAAACAAAAACCATGCCTCCATGCGTTAATGCGAAAACTTTGAACAGTCGACAGTTTCTTGAAATTTCTGAGCGATTTTTCTTCCTCCTGTTTTAAGCGCATAAACTTGTGTAGCCAAGATGTAAATAAACCAAATGTAAAATATGGGTAACACTTTATTTGAAGGGGTGTGCATAAGACTGACATGACACTGTCATAAACATGACATAACATCCGTCATGAACATAAAGAAGTCTTTATTAATGTTTGACTGTTGTCATGAAGTGTCATTCGGTAAATAATGACACTTTTATTGCAAAGTTGCTCTAAAAGTTGCATTAAAAGTCCATTAAAAATGCCAACTTTGCATGATTTTGTAAATTATGATAATTTAATGCAAAGTTGGCATTTTTAATGGACTTTCAATGCAACTTTTAGAGCAACTTTGCAATAAAAGTGTCTTTACCGAATGACACTTCATGACAACTGTCATAAACATTCATAAAGACTTCTTTATGTTCATGACATGTGTTATGTCATGTTTATGACAGTGTCATGTCAGTCTTATGCACACCCCTTCAAATAAAGTGTTGCCAAAATATGTAAATAGTACTGTTAATCTACAGAGGTCAAACAGTTCACCATCATCATAGTGCTTCATTATATTACAGTAATGCTGGAATTTGAACTTTATACATGTTTTTACAACTTTAAAGTACAATTTATTGGTTACATTTTATTTTGTGGTATGCAATTAATGCAAAAATTAAAAACACATAAAACCAATTTTTGACCTAGGGGTATGTGAAATATCCAAGTTGTTTTTAGACATCTTTGATCACATGTGGTCATCTGGGAATATTTAGCAAATTTGTTTGAGATTTTTCAAACCTTGTAAACCTTGTAACCTCACTTGTTATTGACCTAAACATATGGATCATATGTTTATTAATGTACAACTATGTATGTCATTGGACCCCATACAAACTTTGACTATGTAAATGTGCATTGTATCTCTACTGTTAGGAATATAGCAAATGTATTAATGGTTGCTATAAAAGTTCAAATAAAAATAATGTATATAAAGAAAAGTGGGTGTGGTTTTTCAAATAGGAATAGAAAAAATTGGACAACACAAACAGACGACATTTTTGAGATGAAAATGTGTCCTTTTGCTTAAACGAAACGGTTTTTGCTAAATTAATAGCATTAATAATGACAGTCCTACATACATCCACATCAGGCCTCTTCAAAATATCCTCCACTTTAGCCAGGTCTCCATTAGCTGCAGCCTTGACCAGCTCCTCGTTTATGTCCCCGGACTCTTGCGTCTCGAATAGTTTCTTCAACAACTGAGACAAACGCTCTGGGAAAACAAGCGGAAACAGAGATTGATTTTATTTAGGTGCCAGAGAAAAAGAGAGCAGTGAGGACAGAGGACTAATATGATACTCTCCAAGCGACAGCAGTGCATGTTCACATGTACCTCCAGAGGCATTGCTGACAGCAGAGCCGGAGGGGGCGATCTTGGTGACAGCCGCAGGATTGTACGTCCAGGAAGTCCCACAAACCTCGACCTTCAGGTCACTGTCAGAGTAGATCTGCTGCACACGGCCCACCTTGCCCAGGGTCTATTTAAACGTGTTGTGACAAACTCATTAGTGTTTGAAGTGTAGCTGTCTTCAGGCTGTGCATAAACGTTGTGTGTTACAGAGTCTGTGAAAATTAGAGGAAAATCAAAGAAAAAAAAACACAAAAAAAGAAGAGAAACCAGCAGCACAAAATGGACTGAGCATAATCATCCAATTTCAAATGACATCATCTTGATAATAGCTATATAGGAGAGCTGCTCTCTGATGATGTTAAGCTGGGTCAGGCTGACCTCAAGGATGTCATCAATAACAAGGACTGCTACTATAGGAGAACCAGCAGGCAGCAAACAGCCCTGGTTAGTGATCAAAGCTCAGCAGCTATTGAGAAGAGTCAATCTGGCATAATGGAGAAAACGAGCATAAAATGTGTCTCTCTGGAAAACAATTAATAAACATTATAAAATGGAGACGGTAACGTCAAGCTGTGAAGGAAAGAAAGAGGATGGGAGGGTGTCTGGTTTATTCTAAAGAGTTTGTAAAACCTACCGGCAGCATGGCCTCAGCCCACTCGCCATGCCCTCTTTGGAGCAGCTTGATGCGGTCGATGTCGTAGCAGATCTGGACCAGGTCTCCCACATGGAACTGGGAGCTTCCTCCTTCTGCTCCGGCTGCAACTTCACCGCTGCGCACTACGTTGGCCTTGGTTAGCACTGCTGGGTTAAACGTCCATCTGTAGAAACAAAAGACGCCTTAGAACGACACGATTAAAAACCACATAACTAGTTTGTGTGGCTTATGGGTCACAGAATAGAAATTCTGAGCAAAACATTTTGTCAAGAAATAATCTAAATTAATAAGACAGCAATTTTAAGCCCATTAAAATGAAGCAATCTTTTAAGGAATGAGCCAATAGGTCCAGACCTGATTCTTTTTCTGATCTGTGAACGCATCATCCCTAAGCCCTAATAGGCAGTGCTGGCATTAGTGTGGCTGCTGTTACTGAGGGTACAAGACTCAAAGCTATTTCCACTAACAATGAGGTGATTAAAGTAAAGTAAGAAGCTACTTAAAAGGAAGCACTAGCTTTATTACACTATATCTGTGTATCAACCAGGCTGCTAAGGAACAAGAGAGAGATAAACTTTCAGCAGATAACAACAAGGTTGTATTTGGTGCACAAATTACAAAGATGCTAAATGCAGTTTCAAATCTCAACTTTGATCTTTTTATAACTCGTAACAATCATAAAAGACCGCCTTCTCACAACAGAGAAACTTGAGGATGTTTCGTGGTGTCTGGTTTTAAGTAAAAAAAGGTCCGTAAAATTCAAGACGTGATAAAATATAGTTTTGTTTGCCCCACTTCCTAATAGCCAGTAAATCTAGGCCTGTCCTAAGATGTACTTGCCTGTTCCCACTGGGGTACTGAACCACAATATCATGGTCCTCATCGATGCCACACACGGTGCCTGTGGTTGTGAGCGTCTCAAACATGCCATCGGTCCATCCCCCGTGGCCATGCTGGAGGGACTGAACGATCTCTAAATCCAAATCAATGTTGACCAGGTCGCCGATCTGAAGACCACCCGGATTTCTGTTTCCATTCTGCTCACCTGGGAGGCGAAGGCAACTTTAAATTTATCGACAAACTAAATGCATTAATAATACATGTTGCACTTCAAGCTTTAAGAGTCTGCAGGTGACCTTAAAGAGAAGTATAAAGGAGATCAATAAAATATACTGGGCTGTTATTTTACATAAACTATACACCACACATTTTTCTGCAATACCTAAAATAACAATATCAAACTCAATGAGTGAACTGAACTGCCCTGTAGTATTAGAGAGAGAATTTATTTAAAGCACAGTGAGCGTGGATCACACTCACTGTGTTCTACATTTTGAGACCAACATGACTGTGCAGTACTGCCATCTAGTGGCTAAACAGATATAGGTGCAAGTAAAACTGCCCTAATGCCCTTGAATTCACTGCACCAGAATAAGAGGTGAGAAATTTGGTGCAATAATGACACATCACTGGCTAACTTACCTAAAACAGGACAATGGTCTCTGTAAAACGAGCCTCCTTTGGCATCCTGGACACATTTCAAATCCGACTGAGGGGAATAAAAAAAAAAAATTATAAAAAATGAGAACAGTAGAATAGGTTAAATAAGGATATAATGCCGTACTAGCAATATTAATGAAGTAGAAACAGAGTTGCATATGCCAACAACATCAGTGCCCTACGGATAAGGTTGGGCAGTGGAACAGAACAGGTACCAACAGAGAGCTTCAGATCTCTGTTACACATATCTGATGACTCAGATGTGTGTAACCTTTGTGGCAGAGTTAGAGGGCAGAGATGATCATAGGATGAAACACCAAATTACTGAATATGACAAGTCTCGACAAATAGCCCCAGCTGCAGATTGAGAACTGCCGCCCTGTAAATGAGTGTTTTCCCCCTTAAAGATTTCTCTGTTTTTGCGGGGGGTTTTTGTCACACTGAAATCTTTCATATAATCACCTACATTTTAATTTCAGAAAAAGATAAAGCGAGGAAACACAAAAGGCAGTTTTCGATTATTTCATTTGTTAAAAGGTGAAATGTCATCTAAACTTGTACAACCGTATCGCATCCTTTGCAGATATTTAACTGAGATTCTTTTTCTAAAATGCTATGCGAGTTGGAGGCCAGATGGATCGGGACACACAGGTTCAACTTTGGTCTCGTCAATCCACAAGTAAATTAATCCAAATGCCTTTAAGATTATCAAAACAGTATTTGGCAAATGTGAGTCAGGTTCAGGTGTTGTTAACCAGCAGTGGTTTTCATCTGGGAACTTCCCCATAAGATGTAATTTCTGTTCACTCTCCATCTTACAGTAAAACTATGAATACTGACCACCAAATGAGGCCTGCAGGCGTTTCAATATTATTCTGGGTTCTTTTTCCAGCTTCTGAGTCGTCAATGCCCTCCTAGAATAACATTTGAAAAGCCTGGAGCTCCTGGGAAGATTAACCACTGTTCCATGTTTTCTCCAGTGGTGGATAATGGTTCTTGCCATGATTTCCTTAACTTCCAAAGCCTCAGAAGTGACTTTCATGACATCTTGAATCAAACAAATATCAAACTATCAAGATGGGAAGCCTATTTTATGCCTTACTCCAGAGGCAGATGTCATCTCCATCCCTTAGAATCTATTAGAATAACAAAGTAAAAATCTGTCATGCAACGAAGAAACCCGATTGGCCATTTCGTAAAAAAAGCAACGCCACCCTCCGCCAATGAAAAGAGGGCTTTTATTTGAGACACGTGTGTAGCTGTGGCCGCAAAAACCTGAAAGTTGACCTGCATGTTCACTTGATCACCCCCCCCCTCCACCCCCAAAGGAAGCAAGAACAGATTGCTTTTCTCATGCAGATATCTTCCCCTTCCATCTGCCTGCACAATGGCTCCTTACACATTCAGCCTGTATGGCTCTCACAAAGGCCTGGCAGCAAAAGAGGGAGACCTCATCCCTGTGGTCAAACACAAAAGCCCCCTAACAGCTGTTCTTTTAGAAGACTGATGGGGACGGTGAGGAAGGCAAGCGGCTTCCTCACCATTCCTTCGAAGCCGACCCTGTACAGGTTCTTGGCCCCGTTGTCCCAGATCACATAGGCGGCGCTGTGAGGGCTGGCGGCGCTCCAGTCCTGGATCTCCGTCACCTGTGGAGAAGAAAAGCTCAGCTCAGATAAAGATATGACACTTGGGTGTTTTCTTCTTTTTTTTTTTTTTTTTTTTACAAACAAGTTAACAGATTTGGTGTTTTAGACGAAAACCCTGATCTATTCTATTGATTCTGGGTCCTAATCACAGCATTTGTCACCACTCTGACTCTCAGTACCTCTTATTTGTCTATAAATATCTAAGCTGCACTCAAGTAACACCATGAAAATTTTCTAAAAATGTGTTAAGTTTTAGTTAATTTTTTTTTATCTCAAAAATATTCACATTCAGAATTCAAAAACCATAATATATTCATATATATTTTTTACAACCATTTGAAAATGAGGTAGGCAGAAGTATAAAGTTATTTAATCCTGACCCCTTTCTTTTATGTCATAATTTTTACACATTATTTTTAAAAGAGAAAGAAATATCAGATCATCTTTATTTATTACACACACTACTAAACATCATGAAAAATCACCAATCTATACATCATGTTGGGAAATGGTTCTGAACTGTTAGCCGTTTGACAAGTGAAAACATTGTGTGTTACTGAAGGCATAAATAACCAATGAGCTACACGCAGAGAACCACAAAATCTATTTAAAATTTGTAAAACAATGTAAAGATAGATTTCCTCTCTCCATCACCAGCAGTAAATTGCTTCCATAACGATATTAGGAGTGTCGAGAGTTAAGTAAATGAATTCTTTAATTAAATAGCTCGCCTTTCGTAAATACTGAAACCCAACATTAATTACTTTAAGGCCGCTTTCCAAGCAAACTGATTAATGGGCCTTAAGATTTAATATTCATGCTAACCTAACGGCAGATTTTGGCTGCAGGAGATGTAGCGGCGGTTTTCTACACAGCATACTGCTGACAGCATCATAAAACACTAATGAGATGCGTCATTAAATAACAGTACAAAATAATGTATTACATTGAGGGGCTGTTAAACTGAATACTCCAGAGTCTGCAGAAGACTCAAATACAAACACCAGTTACAGTGTAAGGAAAAAAAAAAAAAAAAAAAAAAAAAAAAAAAGATATGCACATGATATAACAAAGATATATTGGATTATGTTCTAATGACGTGCAGGATTTCTGCATTATCCAGAATAACATGTAGTTTTAATCCCTCGCCACTGACATCATTATTTTATTTGACTCATTATTTCCATGAATCACTTTTACCGTCTTACATTTTTAAGCACATTGAATATATTGAGTTTAAAATTGTGTATTTGTGCTCATTTCTGGTTCGCTCTCTCTGAGCTACAATTTCGAAACAGTCATATCAGTCAGTGCATCTGATTCACTGTCCAATGAGTGTTTACAATCTGCAGTGATCAAAAGTGTTGGGAGAACATTTGTTAAGTTTTGTGAAGTGACATGATGAGCAGCAGACGAGACAACACCCAATGGCTAATGATGAGTCAGAAAAAACTAATCAACCCTCAAAAATGTGTGTTTTTTTTTTTGTTTTTTGTTTTTTTTTTTGGCTGCTACATTTTACCCTGAATATGTTTTTTATGAAAATGCTTCACAAAGACTGCTAAAGACATTGTAAAGGAAAAGAACAAAATAAGTATGTTTATGTAATGAGATGTTTTCAGAGTAAAATTATTTAGCTGATTACAAAAATAATACGCCGATGAATTAGTCTGGAAAATTTGCAGCTGTACTTTTCTGTTTTTCTATGTGAGCTGTCCTCAGATAACCTCTGCAGCCAAAGTTTTCTACAGGCACTAAAATATATACGGAGCCAGTAAATTAGGCAATAAGTTTTGCACTGAAAGCTCTATGCACAATAGAATTGAATAACAGTCCCTTATTTATTCCCAGTGTGGCAACTCAAACAAAAGCACAAAATACATGTAAGTTAAAATGTGGTATGATGATTTATGCAGGGTTTCCTTGTGAATTCTAATGATAATGACATCAATTACAGTTTGCAAGTTTTAATTCCACAGTAAAAGAAATATTTTTTGATTAAAGTGTTGGTTAATTTTGCTCTACGACACAAGCTTAGTGGCACTGAAACACTACAGAGCTATGCAGCTCCACAAAGAATTTGCTTATTTGATTCTTTTTTTGGCATTCCTTAATGAAAATAAATCAACAAATAGTGCGCAAATTTTCAGATTGTGATTTGGTTTTGATTTTAATTTATTGGCCTTAGTTTTTATTTTAAAGGATATTGTATAACAAACCAAACAAAGCATGCGTGAGTTTAAAAACTTTCTATCAAAGGAAACCCAGCAGATTGTGTCAACTCGTTGCTTATAGCTTTCACTCCTGTTGGATGAACACGTAGCGACAGTAAACAATCGCTGGCACCGTCGCCGTTTACAGCAATCCCTGATACTAAGCGTAAATGTAACGACAGCAGAAAGGAAAACTCCCCTTTAACAGGAAGAAACCTAAAGCAGAGCCTGACAACAGTCTATCAACACAGAAGCACTGTCCCAGGAGCACTTTCTATTCTGAATAAAATGACTGGTTTGGTTTTGTATTTATTTGGGGTTCTGTGTGTGTTACACTAGCATCCACTGGGAGAGCTCTTCCTGTTTTGGCTAGATCCATGTATATTTCAATCAAATCACATACTGTGGCAGAAACTTGTTTTTCCTGCCAAAGGCCGATTGACCTAAGAACTCCTTGAACCTTCAGGTGGGGACTCACCCCGACCAACTATAATTTCAGAGCAGGAAGCAAAACAAAAGACACTAACCGAGCTGAGGTTTAGCTATTTGTGTCTTACCTTTCCTCTCCTCGCATTGCCTCCATCTTGGTCTTCCCATTGCCAGTCCACTCCTCTAACAACTCGGCCACCAGCAAAGATCCCTCTGGCTGTGATTTTCTTTGACTTGCGACGTGACTCCAGAAGTACTCTGCTCAAATGTAGAAACGGAAACAGATGATTAAAAAAAATAAAATAAAATACTATGTTCACTCACTAAAGAAGAGCTGCTTGGTTATGCTGCTTTTGCATTTTGCACATTTTCCTTAAGGAACAAAAATTTGGCATCGCTAAAAGGATAGATAGACTTAGCCTGCTCAAATAATTTGTCTCAAAACTTCAGCTATGATTAACCTGAAGTTCCTAAGCAATTTCTTTTTCAACAGTTGCTATAAAAAATTTAATGAGGTGCACAACAAACACACCCCACCAGACATCAGGAAGGATGGGAGGTGGGGAGACCTCCAGTACCCCGGTGCATTATGCAACGTCTGCCTCGGGGGAAATAAAGTCGCACTAGAATGAAAATAAGGCTGCCAGCTGCTCAGCTTTGTGCTTCATTTATAAAATTATAATAGGCCAGAAGTCTAGATCACTATTCCAACACTGATGGTCAATATAAAATCAAAAATAAAAGATAATTAGAAATGAAACTTCTTTTAAAAAGGTCCAGATAGCAAGTTATAGCAACTTAATAATTCATAATAATGACATTTGCCTGAAAAAAAAAAATGTATATATGACATATAAGTAAGAAGATTAGTTTCAGTTTTTAAATTAATATGGTGTTCTTACACTAAGAGGTACTTGTAGTCTTTTTGGGAGTATAACCAGAGTATAAAAGGAAATCAATATTTCAAACCAATGTCAAATCATTTGCCTCAAAATGAAACATTCAAATACTTTAAAAAAATATTTGAATGTTTATTTAAAAAAAAATATTTGAATGTTTAGGGACTGTAAAAACATTGTTGTAAAAAGCAACTACAAAACTATTTTTGGAAATTTGATTTTCATTTTATGTACAAGCTGCTTCAGTGCTGTATTTTTTGTTCTTTTTGTAATTTTTGCTGCCTCTAAACTGCCGTCTGTTTTCATGTGATCCATTAAATCTGCTGAAACATGAGAAAATGAACAAATTGCTATTCAAACTTCATTATTACAAAGTGCTTAAAGAGAATGTAACTAGACTTTTTCACTAGTTTGCTTGGGAGATCCTGGATGGCTGAATCTACATCATCAGTTAACAGCTGAGGTTCAGGAAGTAAACCATAAATGTGTTAAAAGCCTAAAGATTTAGTAATTCACTGGGATTTATTAAGAATCTTTATAAATGATCTTAAGATCATTTTAAATCACAATGTAAAACTTGCCGACCTCTATAAATAATCTCAGCCTTTTCATTTATGCTTAATGTCCCTAATTATAGGCATGTCATGATGAGTCTTACAACATGGCTGCACACACTTAGAAAAGTCATCAACACTGATAAAGAAGGCACAATCCTCTCACATAAACAAAATATCTAGAAAAGTTAACATGAGATGGATTTTTTTTTTTCTATTAAAAGCTCTGAATCTTAAAATAAGACTAAGCAGTTGCCTGGCAACTGAAGGTTAGGAGCATACAGACAGATTTCCATTGCCTCTTATGCAAGCATACAAAAAGGCTTCTCAAATGTCACACACTCACATAAGGTAACAAAGCCAGAATGAAGCTCTGAATGGTCCGACTGATCAAAACGAAGAGCGGGGCTTGCATTACTTGTTTAATCCACTTTATCTATGGAAAAGTCTAATGTGGCAGACAGCAATGCAGAACAAACCTCTCGCTGCCTGGGGTGGTGATCCTGTAGAATCGGTGTCTCAGGTGATGCTTGTCTCCATGGTAACAGGTTGTGCAGAGGTCATAATTGGTGCACTCTGCGCATTTCCAGCGAATGCCAATGATTGGCTGTTGACGACAGGTGTCACACATGGTTCCATCATGCTTGATACCTAAGGGGGAGTTTGTATTTATAGGTTAACTGATAGAGATTGTAGTGTGTGTGTGAGTCCATCTCTGTACTCTGTCAGAACAACAATGTATGCATTATGTAAAGGGCACAATTTTTTAGGGCATATTTATAATGTGCATAGTTTTTAATATCTTAGCTGCAGTTTTAATAGCAAATAATTGCAATCATGTCTGACTGGCTGCTTTCGCAAACTGTAATGGTTTTCTTTTGCAATGTGACTCATCCTTTAGAATAACAATAACTACAGACAACTTCTACTTTGCCTCTGAATAAATTATACGGTCTAAAACAAAAGGTCATTACTGCTAGTAATTGGAAGTGTAAACAGAAGACATTCAAGGTATAATAATGTTGCATTCATATATATATATATATATATATATATATATATATATATATATATATATATATATATATATTATTAGGGGGCAGTTACAATAGTCAATCTGTATCAACATTTTTAAAAAGTTGGAGTTTCAAAACTGCTTGCATTTTTTTCAGATATGCTGTCGTTAAGAAAGTTAAGAGCTACTTAACTTTCAGAGACAAACTACTACACCTCTGTCTGCAGCACATGTTTTCCTCATTTATGAGTTATGAGGCATACAATTGAAAACTCGGAATTAGTCAGAATGTGAATCAGCAGGCTGGATCTCAAAGAAAACCAGACATCTTTGCAGCATGGAAAAGTCTGACCTCCAATTTTTACTTGAAGCCATCATGAAAAAAAAAAAAACTCACCCATAACTCACCCCCCAAAAATTCTAACTTTTATACCAGTTCTCTGACAAAATATATTCTCTAGAAGCATGTTTGTTTTGTTTTTTTTTTTTTTTTTATTAGTATTATTTTACATGTTGTGTGTTTTGTGCTGGATGTTATTTTAAGGTCCTGGTTTGTCCAGAAGGGCTGACATCCTCTTCACCCTTTGCCAACTTGTTTCTAAGAAACAGAACATCCCAGCTGACTCTGGAGAGCAGAGAAAGGGCTGGGGCAAATAACTTTGCAACCCTTAAAACTGAGATTTTATGAGGACACACTTGAATATGAAGGGAGTGGTGGTGTTGTTCCATACACTCGCTGCTAAAAATATTTTCTCTCTTACCACATTTCTAAGAGCACAATAACCATTAATGCCTATAATCAAGTGTTCCACTGTATTGCATATGGTACTGTTAAATGATAAATGTAGCCAAAATATGTCATTTAGAAGTTTTGTTGTGATTATACGTAGCTTGATGGTTTTCTTACCGTCATCACAACATGTATGGGTATATCAAGTCATGTTTGTTTATGTAGTGATGCGTCAACTTCTTGACAGAATAACACCTTCTCGACAGAACAACACCTTCTCAGTAAGATATTTTAACCGCTACTTTCAGTCAATAAAACTGGCTCAAATGACGTTGAAGCAGGAAAAGCAGTAAATGTGCATCTCTATTATGATGTATTTTTCTTAATTTTAAGTGTACTTACAGTGGCATTTACTTTCTTTTACACACGATTAGTGGTGTAAAAGTAGACGCAATGTAAAAGCAAAAACGAAGTCCTGCTTACTCTGTGGTTGCACCAAGCAACTTTGATGTTCTTGTTTGAGTTGACTAGAAATCACATGAAGGCTATGGGTTTATACTTTCATGTATTAATACGGATATCTTCTTCTATTCCTTCAGTTTCATTTGGATTCCAAACAACTACATCCACCAAAACAAGCTACAACATATTCTTTTTTTTTACCTATAGTACCAGCAAGGACAGTCTGATAGGTGAATCTTCAGTTTTCAGCGATATCTTGATATAGATATTAGTAGTTGGCCACTAATTAATTGCGTCTTGAAAAAAAAAAAAAAAAAAAAAAGAAAGTTTTCCACAGCAACAAAACAATGTGTACGCGCGCACAACGCAAGTAATTGCCGCCATGTTTATTTGTTTACAATTTATATTCACAGAAATGAAGGCTAACTGAAGAGAAGGCTAAAGAAGCCTTCTATTCACGAAAACTCAACTGTTGTACCGTACGCCTCTCAGCGTCAGAAGTTCAGCAAAAACAATTCAACAAATAAAGTTACCTGTTGGAGCACTGTCTAATATTCTTATGTCGTAAGCTCCAGAGCAGCGGTAGTTGGCAGCAGTTCCGTTATCCCAAACAACGACCACTTCTTCTGGACTTTCGAAACTCCTGACGGTGCCGACATGCCCCTCTCCACCATCCTGCTTCCCCCACTTCCAGTCGGGTCCGCGGACCACTCTGGCTCCCACTCCTTCCATCATCGCCCGGTTGTTCCTGCCGGTGGTCATTTACGAAAAGAGCTCGCAAAAAAAAAAAAAAGCACAACAATTCTTCCACGTTAGCGAGCTAGCAGGGCTGATAAGAGCACTGGGTCGGCAGACTGTTTCCCACTGAGGTGGAAGCAAGTCCAGACAGGAAAGAAGCCGGAGAGAAAAAAAATCCACAAAAGCTAACCTGCTGGCTAACCCAAGGAGGGTGCTGGTGGATCCTTTACAAAAACTACAAGCTAACGTTATCTACAAATCAATACTTGCTGTGTGATATTATCGAGAAGGAAAATCTTAACAATCCTCAAACACTATTCAGCAAGCGTATCTTCAGTTTGCAAACAACCACTCAGTTTTCAGCTCCCCTTCAGTTCACACACATTGAAGCCACCTCTTCAACTTAGCAAGCTAGCGAACACAATGCTACAAATAGCAATGCTAACAGTACAATTTCTCCTGGCTTCTCGTTACTGAGAGCGAATGTTCTTCTTTTCGTGGCTGCTTAGCCGTATCGTTACTTTTAAAAGTGCACAAAAAACATCCAACGGGTTCTCCTTTTTTTGCTCCAGCCTGCTCCATGGGATGAAGTCAGAGTGTACGCGTCGCCATTATTCTCAATCATCGTTCGAGCCTCAGACGAGCAACAACTAGCTACGAAGATGCACGATGAAGCACGAAGACGAGAGCCGAGCCGGAGACCGCCTGTTTGATGTGGAAATATAAAGAATGACGTTGAAACATCTACAAGCTGTGATTATGCCTGTCAAGGGTAAATATAAAGCATATTTAAAATATTTATTTTAAACAATCCTGGGCGTTTCCTAACTATGTGTTATACATGTTCAAAAATATCATTGTTTATGGGCCTATTTTAAAAAATAACAGAGGGATAAGTTTAATCTCCTTTTCAGTTCTAATCTTGTTGACACCCCAATCATTTTTTTTTTTATTTTAGCAAAAGAGTAGAACGCTACATAAGGTCCCAGTGTGACTTCGAGATATCTGCATCCACTTAGAACGATTAAGATGGATTTTTATTATACATGAGTAACTTGACTCACTTCCCAAGGTGACATGGCATTGGGAGCAACTCAAATATTCAAAGAAAAAAAGCTTATCTGTTGTACCCCAACATAATTTTCAATTTCAATTGCTTTCATCATCCAGTTAGTGACGACTGGTCCCCATCTGCTGTGTAAACATGTCTGTCTGCAACTCCTAATTGTGTTCTTAAACATTGCCTAGATCTGATATTCTAATTAAAATAAAAAGTATGGTATTTTCAAATTATGGCACTACATATCACAAGGGCTAAAACATATGTTTCTATGTAATTAACCTGTGGGTTTTCATAGATACTTTAACATGTTAACTTAGACTATTAGGGATTTTTAAGCAAATTTTAAAGGGGAGGAGGTATTATTTAAAATTCCCTTTTTTTTTGTTTTAACAGCATGTTATAATGTTATTCCCTCATCAAAAATGCCTAGAATGTTACTTTGATTCTTTCATGCATGTTTGAGAAATTCTTGAATCTCCGCTTCAGCTATTCAGAGGTGCCCAAACGCTTGCTCTCACTAATTGTAGCCTACTTCCACAAAGCTCCTAGCTGCAGTCTCCAGCCGAACGTCCGCGTCACAGAGCATCCCTTCTCCTTTCCCACTAGGCTCCACCATATAAACAGCATCAGTGATTAACAAGCACCTGGTGAAACTGTTAGTTTCCTGATCTTATCATAGAACTACTCACTCCAACACACCTATGAATGGTTGTAATCGCCACAATGGAAAGTCATTGTTGTGATGATTAGGTGAAGGCGGCCTGTTGAAAGGAGCAGGAGCTTCTTAAAGAGACATAAGCGAATTTCAAGGTGTAAAATTGTGAAGTCAGTTTTCTTTTATGTTATGTTTGATACATGCTGCAATTTTATAATAACTGATCATACATTTTCACTTTTGAAATTATGGTACTCAAACGGAGTTAATACTACTGGTTAAATCATTTATGTGTTTGTGCTTTTGCCAGTAGAACTTTTTATGTTCGCTGCAAATAAAATATTCTTTAGTTGCTTCAAATCAACCAATTAAACTTGTCCCTTCCTTGCAGACTCTATGAAATTTTTATTGAAAAGAACTCCCAGACCAAATAAGTCGGTCAGAAAACTAAACTTGCCTCCACATTGTATTTACTTCTTTTTTAATAGCTGAGGTCTAATGTAACTAAATGGCTAAAAAGAAAGCCTTTGCGTGAGAGTCAACTTAAGTACTACTAACATTCCACTAAGTCAAGCAAATGAAGATGTAAACAATCTTTGTGATCCATTGATGCTTGTTGGTGATGGGCTTAACTCAAAACATCCCCAAATCAGTGTTTTTCTTTGGGCCCCACATAATCTTGGGCAGGGTTTGATTGAAACTCATAAATACAAAATTGATTGTAAAATTAGAATAATAAATAAATAAAACAACTAATAAGCTGAATGAAATACTTAATACCAGACTGTATCTGAGAGGAATATACAAAACTTCTCCTCATTACATTGTATCTTATGTGTACAGTTAACTTCTAAGGTTTTAGCACAAGACAACCCAGTCTCTGTTGGGTTGTAATGTTGCCTCAAGGCCCTTTGGATTTCAACACGTTCTCTGTTAATTAAATTACAGTGGATTACCACACAGTGAAGCTGGAGCATTTGGGTCCCTTGTGAGTCTGCAGACACAGTGGCATTACTAGCTGCATCATCAGTTTTAACCGTGTCCTACCACTATATTTAATCGATTCATTTATTTATTATTTTTTACTTTCAAAATCAAAAGCATTTATTATGAATATTTTTACCTAAATACCATATAAAACCATAATTCTGACTTTCAGTCATATTTCTGACTCATTCGGTCTCCAGGCCAGAAGGGGTGTTATTTAAAATCAATGGATAAACAGACTCATAAGTGTGAGTTTCCTGGTGTTGATTTTGTAAATCATAAATGTGATTCATAATAAAGAACTATGAAATTGCTTTGACTTTATAGCCACTTTAAAACACCAGATTCTTACATTTAAAGACATAATCACCAAATTCCTTATTTTGACTTTCTAAATCTATATATGATAGTGTCACAATTGTCAGGTTCAATCACAATTTAGTAAAATAATATCTATTTGAGATGTATCCAGAAGTTTGGCCTTCATAATTATACATTTCAAATTGATAACGATACAATTTAGTTCTATAAGTAGGAGATTAAAGTCAAATTTAATACAAGCCACATTAATATTTGGAACTGTTTACCTTGGTCCTCGTACCACTATCTCACAAGTCTCTCTTGGAAAGTGGAAATAATGACTTTGATTATTACATATCAAATTTATCAGAACAAACCATGTGCAATTACTTTTCAATATAGTGGTGCCTTAAACAGACACTTCTTGACTGAAGTGTCTAAATAATAGTTTTAAAAATAGTTTAAAATCTAAATGCTCTTTTTCTTTTTAGAGGCAAAGCAAATGAACCCATTAAAACCACACATTAGTAACTTCCACATTCTGGAAGTATCTCTCGTATTTTTTTCACAATTGTACAGCAACGTCAATATAGATCCAAGGGGTGTACATTATACCACATTTTAATAATCAGATCAGTTTAAACATATGCGCCCTCACTTTGTGGCCTGCAGGGGGAGAAAGAGCAAATCTTATCAGTGGTGTATGGCTGGTCGGTCAAAGAGCGCCACCTCTCGCTTGTCCATATATTCCACCCCTCCCATCTCCCCTTGACCGTCTCCTTCACAGTTGGCTCGCAGGCAGACGCAGCTGAATCCCAACTGAGCTGGCCGCTGTCCTTGCTCCGAGAGAGACAAGAGCAACCTTGCAATGATCTCGCTGGACTTGAATTTCAACATTCTGACAAGGGACCTTTCACATTATTTGGAAAATCAAGTGAAAGTTGGGCTGTTCGGTTCGGGAGTGGGGTTGTCTCTGGTACTCGGCTTCAGCGCAGCTTACACCTGCTATTATTTAATTTCGGTAGCCAAGGTAAGTCGATGTTAACGCGATTCCGCACGCCAAACAGCTTGCGTGTGTGTAGATGTGGGTAACAGATGTGGATTTATCCTTGAGGAGCATCCTTCGGCGGTGAGAGATGAAAGCCGAATGGTGCGTTCATTGACAGCAGTTTCTGCCGGGAACTGCACATGTGCCGCCGAAATAGACAAAATGCATTTGTCTTGTTCATGAACACGCTGCACATATGTATATTGGCTCCTCAATAATGACTGTTAGATGGCGAGACCAGCCGAGTAAGGCCGATTTTTTGCTGGAAACCGCTGCTGTGTCGACAACGCTTACTCTGCTTGAAGGGTTTTATGTAACACATGCTGTTGCCGTCATTGACCCGGCAAGCTATGGATACTCGCAGCATAGATTTCATGCAATAGTGACAATACTCTATTATACATAACCTTTAGGATAATAATACATGTGTATGAGTATCGTGTAATAGTGGGTTGAAATAAATCTGGTAAATGATGCGTTTTTTGCTGTTGTTTTTTTTTTTTTTTTTTTGTAAAATTGCTTAAAACTGATAATAGTGGCTATTCCAATAATTTATGTGCGTTTCAAATTGAAATTTAGCAATATGATTATGGATAATGAAGGATACATCATCTCAATTAATCCTAATACATCACTAAAAGTATTTGTCGCTAACATTTCTTTTGTTTGTGTTTTACAGTCTCATTCAAATCATCAGTGACAGTCTATTTTAAAGTCAAAGATAACCCAAGCAAATAAAAAATTTAGCAAAAAAAAAAAAAAGCTGTCCAATAAAATAACTACATGAGTAGGTAACCCACACTCCCTTGTTATTTTATTAAATAAATTAAAATGCGATTAACCAGATTTTTAAACTTACAACTTAACACCTAGACCGCATTACAGCCTTACCTGTTGAATCAATCACTAACAGAACCTATTTGACAACAGGAAGTAGGTCAGTCCTGAGCTGAGAAGATTCTAAAACAGATTAGAAAAAAGTAACTAAAATCAATCAATTTTGAGGTGCGACACCTCAAAATTATCTTTTTCATTTAATCTTTTAGAGTTGTATTATTGAGTAAATTTATTGCCTTGAGCTTTTAAATTTTTTTTAAACAGTTTAAGTATCTTTTTAAGCTGAATAAAATAACATTATTATTTAAGCTGATAATGTTGCTTAAATTATCAAACCAAATAAAATTTTATTGGTATAGCACCTTCCACCAACAAGTGCTTTACATCATAAAAACACAAAAATACAATGTCATAGAACACACAGTCAACAATTTACAAGTAAATTTAAGGAAACGTAACTTCTCGCAGTCATTTAATTTATATTACTTTACATCAAAAGTTTCTTTTTGGGTTTTACCAACGGTTTTCTCATTTTTAAATAACTACATGTAAATTTGCACATGTGAGCTTTAATAATTATCATTATTAATGCTTCTACCTTGGTCCATTTCATACAGTGTTTTGTATAGTCATCTTGGATTTTGAGATTCTGTAAATTCATCTTTTTATCCTTATTGCATTATCTTAAATATAACATGATATTTTTTATTATACTGCAAAACTATTCCCTTTTATTTTACAGAAACCTCAACTTATTTCTGGCGGTAAGAAGTTCTACCAGTTTCTAAAGGAGCAATGTCCAGTCGTGTCAGAGACTTACTACCCCACATTTTGGTGCTGGGAGAGTCGCATTCAAACTCTGCTGAGACCTTTTGTTACAGCCAAACCTGGTGTTGTCTATAGAAAGTAAGTTCTTCTCCATTATAAATTGTGTACCACATAATTTGTTAATCTAATTTCAGTTTTTGTACTTTTTTTTTTTTTTTGAAAGCTGAAATCAAAACCCAGCTGGATTCAAGAGTTAGAGATAGTTTAATTTGTGTTAAAGGAAAAGCATTCTGTAATTTATGACAATTAAAGCGCATGTATGATTTATTTAAAATGTATTTAAATGTGTTATTGTTTGCTTACTACATCAATGTGGATTTTCTGTATTTACAATATAAAGCATTTTTTTGTGAAATTTATTCTGTTCTTGTTCATTTTTGTGATGTGACATGTGACAGTCCTTTATGGCATATGAAGCCTTCAGTGTCAAGTTTAAAATGTGTCACATGTTTTGCATAAAGGTAATACCTGAGATTGGTCAGAAAAAGAAAGAAAATCAACTTTTACTGCTTTAAAAAATGGATTTAGGGACTCATAAATCTGTGCAGCATTTTGTGTACAGTAGCTTAATCCCAGATGAATCTGTTTTTGATCAAGATTTGATTAAAGTATTTTTGAATTGGTCTTATTTTGATTTAATTTGGCTGTTTAGGTTTTACATTCTGGCAAAAAACAAACAGTGACTGTTGATTTAATTGTAAATTTTACTTTCTATTTTAAATGTAACCTCCACTGTAGTCGGTCCCAAGGACATTCACAGTGCCCATGCTTTGATGCTCTCTTTTGTCAAGGTGACTTGTATTCCCTCAATGCCCAAGTCATCCTAGTGCAGATCTCTGATATCAAGCTGGGTAAGAACAATGTTCACATTTGCTGAACTTAGAAAATTTCCTCTGGGAACAGCTGGACAATCTCCCAGGGCTTTAATTAAATTATCCAAGGTTGACCCAAAGACGGCCAATGTGAAATCCGTCCTATTTGTAGTAAGCTTTCTGGCTGAAATTTCACTCACCTTGTTTTCTGATGGGAGGATTAGCGATGCACCTCCTCCCACTTTGTGTGCAGGTTTCTGTGTCAGTCCTTCTTGACTTTAAAGTCTTGCCTCGGGTGTATATTTCAGGGCAGGTTCTGTAATTTCATGCCGGTGCCTCCAACCTAAGGCCGGCCAAGCCTATCACTGGCAGTACAGCATGACTTTATGTCCACTGCAGTGTCTTAAAAGACTAGATCCTCATTCCAGGCTACAGCTGTAAAGTGCAGTAACTGAGTGGCCATAAGAAGCTAATGGTGCAGTGCCCTGCTCTTTATCTGAACTGGCCACGTGTTGCAAAGTCCACTGAAAAGATGTTCACGAGACAAATAAGGCAGCAGTAAGTGAGCGCTCTGCTCATATATCCAATTCCCCTTTGACCATCGGCTCTGGGATGGATATAATAAAGTAATCAGTTTACCTGGAACTCATCTGAAGGCTTAGATTGTGCAGAGGACGGAGTTAATCACCACTTTTCCACTCATTTGCACGATTTCCCATCACCATTGTTTGTTTGTGTGTCGTGGGCTTGCCTCAGTATTCCTACGCAATCTGGAAGAGAAAATAAGAGTACAGAAAAATATGTGTTTTTCCCAACTTTATTCTTCAATGTCTGAAAGTTGTATCCATTGTCAGTTCGTCTTTTCATCCATCCATCCATCCATCCATTTATCTATGCCTCTGGTCCCTCGCATGGCATTTATACATCTATTCATTCATAAGTGGTCATCGCAATATGCATGTATATAATATCACAAAGGCAAGGGACTCTAAAGAAAATGGGAATAATTTTAATCAATATTGCCATCACATTTTTTTTTACATTAGTATTGCATTTAAATATTTTCCTGATGTCATACAGTCCTATTTATAATTATGTTTTGTATTTACACCTTATTATTTTGTTTGTATTTCCTTTTAACTCATGTAAAGTACTTTGAATTGCCTTGTTGCTGAAATGTGCTATATAAATAAAATTGCCTTGCCTTGCCTAAAATTAGTCTGGAAGAAAGTTTGAAAATGAGAAGTTTGTAGTCTCCCCTATGTTTGTATGTCAGTGGACCAAAGATGCTGATAGATACAGATGCTGATGCAGGGTCTCTTTCGGGAAGAGCCTTATTGCTGAGCTGCGTCTCTCTCGTCTCTGCAGCGAGCTAATCAAGGCAGCAGATGGAGGACAGATATCTGTGGATTGGTTCGACAACGATGACAGCCTCTTTCATCCCGACCCCACCACCAGGCCCACAGTGCTGCTTCTTCCCGGCCTGACTGGCACCAGCCGAGAATCCTACATCTTGCACATGGTCCAGCAGAGCCGGGATCTGGGTTATAGGTGGGTGGTCTTAGCCAAACGCGCTGGCTGCGGTCCAGTGCTGAGCAGACATTCAAAGACACTCAATCACAGGCTGAAGCTAGCTGTGCACTATGATATCATCTGCTCTCTAGCCTGAATATTCTGCAGGCTTTCTACATTTCCACACAGTTTTTCTTGACTTCTTCTCCAGTTTTAAATATATTAATCAGAAACAGGATCTGGTGTTACTTTAGGTAAAGTGCACCAGCACAGTGGGCTGCTCAGGCCTTTCTAAAGCGCTTTTCTTGTAAATAGTAAAACGTTCCAAGAGCTTGAAGAGTTGCATAGGGATGCAGTTTTTATCTTCACTTTGTTTTCTTCCCATCTCCAACAGCTTGTCTCTGTGTTCCCTGCACTCATTCTTTCACCGGCTTTGGGATGACATGGAGGAAGAGAGCCGGCATACTCAGCATCTTCCACCCCTCACGGTTGTCCATGCAGCTTAATTAATTACAGCTTATCCCTGTACAAGCTTTGCGGCTTAGCTCCGGCCAGCTTCCGTGTCTGTGCTGCAGAGTGTGTTTAAGCGCCCCTCCGTCGCTGCCCCACCTCCTCCTTCCCAACGTGCTGTGTAGCTTCACAAATGCTGCTGACTTGCGCTGTTAGAAAACAGCAGGACTGACTCCGACACATGATAGATGACTAAGGAAATGTAGGGAGGAGAGATGCTGATGTTTTCATTTGTAGTACATGCCTTTTGCACAGCTGGACCCTTTGTTTGACCTCATCATATTCGGAATGTATTTTTATATTAAAATAATTGATTCAAATTATGCTTTCCTTTAAAAAGGTGATGGTTTTTCCCCATTCTAAAAGGACACAAATGTGGTTAGTGTCGATGAGTTCTAATTCTAGAACCTAGAAATACTTTAGAACTTTTGATACCTTTTTACACAGTTTTTGCCAAAATTGTCTTTTACAAATTCTTCACAAGGGGAAAGACAAGAGGACATGCAGTTTTATAAGTAACGGCAAAATAAGTGTTGACCTTCATAAGTCAGGACATGCCTTTAAGAATATAGCAACTCATCCGAGAGAGCTCATATATAAACTCTGGGCAGTGTTACAATGGTTAACACAACTGTAATTGTGACAAATTAGGCGCTGGACAAAGACCAGAATTTATTCTCCAACCACACACCTCAGGGAGGAACGTAGGAGATGTGAAAATAAAGTTCAATGTTAGAGAATTTTATCAAAGAGTGGCATCTCTTGGTCAACAATTCTCAATAAAAACCCATATATTTTTAGTCATCCTACCAGAGCTGCTAGCTCTACAATGAAGTGTTTGTTGAATTTACAGAGTAAATAAAGATGAGTTCATTTGTATATCGATAACATTTATGATAAGTCTGATCATGTACAATTTATGAAGAAGCTGAAACCATAAAGATTTATGAAGTTATTTCTTGTTTTTCTCTTTGCATTACAGATGTGTGGTATTCAACAACAGAGGGGTTTCTGGTGAAACACTACTGGTAAGAGTTCATGAGGTGTTTTGACTTTCAACGTCTCATTCAGCATTAAAACAATTTTTTTATTTCCTTGGCTTATCACCCATAATACAGATGCGTTACAGGGCATTACGGTGAAACTGGTGTGGCTTAGTTTTCTGTGTCAGTGTCTCCAAGAGAGTTCACAGAAAGACTGCATGGACTGAGCACAGACAGCACAGTTTCACAGCAGCGATGAAGACACTTACTTTATTTTAACGCAGATCCTTAGAAAAATAGCAGCACCGAGCACTCCGACACCTGGCGTCATCTGTCCTTTTACACTGGAGATATATTTAGCCGACAAACAAAACCCTGAGCTGGATGGCACTTTAACTGTTTGCATGTAAATTATTGCAGTAGAGTGGCGACATCTCCGTGATCTCGTCGTACTGTGACACTACTGCTGGACCGGGTTCCCAGTTAAACCTCAGTTGGATTTATATTACCCACAGAGGGTTGTCCACAGTCAGAGATTCCTCTTTGTGGACATAAATCAGAATAAGCCGATATGATTTTTAAGGTTCTGCTTGACTGTATTTTTTAATTCGCTTTCAGGATTCAGATATTGGAAAATAATAAAATAATTCATCCAGTGTCATACAGGTTGCTGTGCTGTGGCTCAAACTGTTGCACTGCAGTTTGTCTTGAATGTTGTTGACTCAGCTGTATTTATACACAAGAAAGGAGTTGGACCCTGTTACCTTGGAACTGGATCAAGTAGTGGGAAAGGAGGAATGTTCTCCCTTGCTTCAGTTGGTATTTGTGCTAAAGACTATGGAAATTAAATAGCTTTGGTACAGCTGTGAGTGTGTACAGTTACAATGAAAGCTCTCTATTGTTTGTTATGGCCAGTAATTCTGAATGGCCCACTGTGTTCAGGATTTTCCTGCCACAAATACGCATTTTATAAAGGATTGTATGGTGTTGTAGATTATAATTAGATTATATGGTTGCATGGAGTAGTTAGTTGTTATATTTAGATTGTCCTTAAAGTTGTAGTATATTTTCATATTTTAGTTAGATTATTTTAATATTTGAATTAACTCTGGCTGGATATTTGAGTATACTTCTTATCAGATTTGGTAGATCTCATTTGAATTGATTGCTCTCCTGCCACTGACTCAGCTATCAAGCAGAGTCCAAACATTTTCAAAAGGATTTGATTTTGAATGTATTTCTATTTGGGTGAGTGTTAATAACAAATAACATGCACCATACATTTATAGCCTAAGCTAATTTGCAATGGCTGTTCCCAACTGGGCTTTAGGTAACATAAAACAAAATTATAATGCAAAGTTTAGAACTCAGAGGTCAGGAATGTTCTTAAAGTTTAAAGATCTACCACCTGGCCCATTCCGAGTCAAGCTATGATGTATATTTGCTTTGTTAGAATCCATATTTTAACCACGCTGACATAAGGTTGAACAAGAAGGACCAATTTGGAATTTGGTCCTCCCTCATTATTCCATCCAGTTTTTGCAGTGCACCGGTGCCTATATGACAGTTTAACACTCGCCATGTTGCTGCCTCCGCTGCGCTTGACAGTTGAAACAATGGATTTAAGTGGTGAAGCCTCTCCTTGACTACTCCACTCACAATTCTTGTCATTGTGACCAAAAAGTTAAACAAAAGCTTTCCCACCTCAAAGACTTTGAGGAAATCACAAAAAAGATAAACTGTCAAAATACCAGTGGAAACATATAAAAAAAAAAAAAAAAAAAAACTGGGGAGAAATTATAAAAATGTTTGATGACAATAAGGACTTTGCTAGTGAAAAGAGTAAGCGTATTTTTTACTTGACATTCTTTTACTAATTTATAAATTTAAAACAGATCCCCCCCCCCCCCCCCCCAAACAAATTACCCTTCTTGATTTTTCAAATATTTTCTCTTCATAACATTATA